ATCCTCATTAATGCAGTCACAGGGAACTCTGGAGAGCCCAACTGGAGGCATTTTCAGAGGAGTTGGCAGTGAGCTCAGAGAAACAGCTGCAGCCAGCCTGGGGACAGAGAGTGAAATTCTGGTCCCATCTTGGCCAGTTGAAGGGTTTCAGCAGAGCCCAAAAAGTGCCTCATGCTGCCTGTGAGCTGCTAGTGTTCTGCACTGATTTGCAAGAATGCCAGACGTTGATATTTCCCCATAGCCTTACAGGAATTTGGGGTTAATACCCAAATGCTAGCCTCCTTTTCCTTTGGTAGGTGCCTGGTCTCCTCCTGATTAGCAGTGCCCCATGGTGGTGAGGCAAGAACTGTAGGGAGAAGCACTGCATTACCTTTAGGTTCTCTGTGGATAGGGAGAAGATGACAGCTGAGGTGGGAAGGACAGGCCATGACCCTGAAAGTTAGGGTGCTGGCCTGGGCCATCTCTATAGAATTGCCTGCAGTTTGCCTTCTTCTTCTTCCACAGTTAAAAGAGAAAATGGACATATGTGGTCTAAGTGGCATTGGCAGTAGAGACAGGAAAGTGATGGTGGCACATCCAAAGTTTCCCCATGAAGGGTTTTTCCTGGAACCCCATAACCAAGTGTCTCATGGACCAAGCTGCACTACTTTAGCTGCTCCAAAGCTAGAATATTTTCTGTAAGGAACAGGAGAATGTTAAGTCTCCACTGCTGTTCACTTTAGGTACAACAGTGTCAATAAAACTTGTTTAATGAACCGCATAAAAATGGCCATCTGTTTTTGAGCTGATTTTTCTTCCCTGTAAGGGTATTCCACTAACCCCTGCTTGCCAAATTGCCTCTCAAAAATACAAAACTGAACTCCAAGCTCCTCCACTCCCTGTGCAATCCAGTGGGCATTCTGTTTTGTGAGCAATTCTTTGGATTTTACATCTGTTTCTCTCAGTCCGAGGAATCTCAGCAGCTCTGTTGACAGAATAAGTGCAAGGATGCAGGGGAGACAAAAGCATTTTGTGAAATGCGTTCATATTCATTGTCACTGAAGCAGCACAGCTATCTTCCCACTTGACTTTAGGATAACAATAGAACTGCTTTGTCAGCCAGCCAGCAGACCAGCTCGGAAGAGGCAGCACAAAGAAGCAGAGAGGTTCAAGTTAGCAAACAGAGGATCCTGTATCCCTTCCCTGCTGGGCACCACAGTCATTCGGAGAGGAATCCTTTTACACAAAACACATCCTCCGTGGGTACATAAGATTTTCACCTCTTTCCTTTTGAACCATAGCATTTAGGAACATTTGCAGTCCAGCACAGTAGGGCGAAGTATGAGCCAAAGATCTGCCAACGGCCCCAGGGGTTGCCAGCTTAGTGGAATATGCACACAGGGAGCATGGCTTCAGGGAGCATGTGAACACCAAGCTGAGAGCCAACAGGAAATCTGGGACTCCTCAGGCGACACGATGCACGCTGCCATGGAATAAGGAGACATTCTCAGGAGGAACCAAGGCAGGCTCACATCTGGGATTGGCAAGCAAGGAAGAGAGCAGAGAGAATGCAAGGGAAGAAACAAAATGCTGCTTATTTAGCTAACGAGCATGAGGATGGAGTGAGATAAGGGCTGGGACAACCTGCAGTAGGAAGATCGATGCTCTAAAACCTGAAGTGATTCAATAGTCTGGGACACAATGAAAGATGCTGTCTTAAGTTTTCTATTGCTCTGCTTAGCTACTAGCAGCTTTTTAAAGTATCACCCGGATAAATCCTCCTGGCTTTAAAATAAGCAAGTGATCTAAACCCAAACATCTCTGGGATTTGGCATGAGGGAGGATTCCTGCAAAATGGGATGTCAGAGTTTCTCCCCGGTAATAAACTGTACCTGGGGTGGATGCTGATTTCTGCCATGCTGTGACTGAGGAGTAAGGTGAAGAGTAGCAACCTGCCCAGCCTTGGTATAGGTAATGTACCAGCTGCGTATGAAAGACAGGGCAGAGCTGGGTGTGAGGTGAAGTTGCTGTAATTCAGAAATAGGAACAGAATAGGATGGCAGAGGGATGGGAGGTGATAACTGTAGGAGCACTTCACATGGGAAAGGTCGAGAAGAGAGAACAATGAAGGTAATGGTGTTAAAACCAAAAAAAAAAAAAAATACAGAAAACTCCTAAGTGCTTGGCTCTGCAACTCTGACACAAAACCTATGAGACAGGGAGAGGTTTTTCTTAAATCTGAAACTCACATTTGAAAGCTGCACCTTGTAAGCAATGAAGCACTTTTTACCTAGGGATCTGAAATGTCATGTCTTCCCTGCAGTGATATTTTGGTGACAAAATGCAGCTGCACTTTAAAAGCAGTTTTTGCTTTTCACCTTGTCACTTTTCAGAACATCTGTAACACGTCGCGCTTTCATGGGTTTGAGCTGTCTTTGGAGGATCATGCTCCTTTGTTGTGCTGGGAACAGTTCTGAAGAACCAAAAGTGTTTCTTTCTTTGACTGGAGCAGGAATTCTGTTAGGAAGTGCACGTTGTTCAGGTTTTGGTCTGCATGATAACATCCTTACCAAAGCCAGGTTGTGAGACCAGGAGGAGAAGGGATAGATTGTCCCCTTGGCTGAAGGTGATTGAGCTTATCTCAGGTGGGTACATCATCCATGCTGAGAATAATAATCCACGACAGTACTTGGAAATGAGAGAGAAATCTAGCCCCGACTGAAGGAGAAAGGCTGTTTTTATTCTTACATGTAAATTCATAAAGACTGGCTTGGTGGGTGAATGTTCCCTCATTCTTCAGCTGAAAGCTTTCTGGTTACAAAGGAATATTACGTGCTAAGATAAATGGAAAATACACAATAATATTATCCTGCAGAATAGCCTGCTGTATTCAGGAGACGTGTTCTCTATGCCCAATAAAAGAATATGAACCAGCACTGACAATTTGGCAGGACACAAAAACAAAGCAACCATGTTTTGGACAGCTGTTGCAGAACATAACAAAGTGCAGAGGGATGTTATCAGCAAATGCAAACATCAACAAAATGTATTATTTCCCAGGTCAGTGCTTTCCAATTGTTTCAAGCAAAGGTCTTTTTTATCACTGGATTTGTGTAGCAAAGATAGGCGACGGTGTTGCAGAGTGACAGTGGTGAAGTTTTGGCTGGAGCTAAGGGAGGACAAGGGGGATCAGAACATACCAGCATTATATATATAAATATATATATATACATGTATATGTCATCAACCACTTACTTCCTGTCCTCTCGTACCCATACCTCTGCATTTGCTTGAAGATACAACAAGAAAGCCTTCTGCTCTTCTTCAAGTGAATGTGGAGTTTTGGGAAACAAGGGTCTTTGTACCTAGATTTTGTAACACTAGGGTTGAGTGTTCGGCTACCTTGCAATTTTGCCAACAGTGCAATGTCTTTTGCTTGCAGTGGACCTACCTGTTCCTATTCTAGCCCCACATACAGCTTTGCTGATGAATCGCATACAGATGCACACGCAGCTCTCAATTATCCAAAGTAACTGAGAGAGGACTGTAACTTAGATATGGCAAAACCACAATGTAGTACAGATACAGAACATGCATTAAACAAGCTGTGAGAGCACAGGGACAGGCAAGTTACACTGCCAAAAAAAAAAAAAAAAAAAAAAAAAAGACCAGTAAGGCAACTTTCTTGTGTGCCCGTTCATCTGCAGAACTCACTGCCACAGGGCGCCTTGGAGGGCAAACCAGGGTTTGACAATGTTACAAGAAATAAAAGTTGTTGACAGTTACATAAGCTTTGTTAAGAACGTCAAGGCTGGTCAGCCCACACAAGTACAGTTTCGAAGCCAGTTACGTACCACGGGGTCTTGTAACCTTCTCTACACACTCGTGGCTGGTCACAGAGACCTTCAGAGACACAAGGCTGTGAGGCAGGAGCTCCTGGGCTGACTCAGGTGGTCCATGTGTTTCACACACCCTGCCCTCATCCTCTGTTCCTGTGGCGTGCAGCAGTGCGAGGCTTTGGTGGCCCACATAGCTGCCAGAGGATGCTGCTGCCTTAGATGTGAAACTGCTCTGCAGCACACACTGCCCAAAACTCCAGTCCCTGTGGGGCTCTGACCCGGATCAGGAAAAATGCAGACAACTGGAATTTCACCATAAATGTCTAAAAGTGGATTTTTGTGCCGCTTGTCTTGGCAAAGTAGTTCCCACCCACCACTCATGACAAAAAAAAAAAAAAAAAAAAAAAAGAGCTCATGAATGCAGAGGTTCCCCTCCCAAAACACGCGCCCTGCTTCATAGGATAGCTCGTGCCTCAGCGTAGACATCTCCTGTGAGACCAGGAGAAGCACATCTTCGCTGGGAGAAAAGAGAAACAAGGGGATCGCCTACAGACAGAGGAAGAGATACCCCTCCTTCGTCCCAGGGCCGCATTTGTCCAACAAGTGCGATCCTGGACCGAGACACTTCCCTCCCCTCTGCTCCTTGAGGACATTTACTGAGCACACCCAGCCAAGCCTTGGGAGGTTTTGCCACTTCCCTGCAAGTGCTTGGGAGTCTTGCTGAGGATAGTTTGACAGGGAGGAACTCGCGGTCTCCGAGCAGATCTGTTTACTCGTTCCCCGTAGCCCTCGGAGCAGCGCCGTGCACTGCTGCGGCTCGCCTCGCCTGCAGACTGACAGCGCTGTCAGGTCCCATTCATTGCGAAGCAGCCGGTTCCTCACACCTCCCTCGCTCCCCTGCTGAACGCGGTGAGATCGCAGGAGCCGAGCCTGCCCGCAGACGGGGCTCGGTGATTGATGCATAGCAGTAATTGCCAGCGTTCATCTCCAAATAGTGAAACTTCACTTCATAAAGGCGTTTTAGGGTGGGAGGTGCAGGTCAGGACTCCTGCATGCTGATGCTTTTAGAGACAAGCCAGCAGGGAGCTAGTAAGAACAAACTCAGCCCAACAAGTTGCTGCTGGTGAATTAAAGGGGAAAACAAGCCCAAGCGCCTTTCTCATTAGTTCAAGCTGTTCTTACCTGGAGGGTGGAGAGAAGGACTTGCAAGCCACTGGCTTCTTGTTCTGCCATGCTGCTCCCCACTCACAATCCCTCTTTCTAGCAGCAGACACAATGCAGCCAGAAAGCAAAGCTGCCAACTTGCCTGGCTGCTGCCCCTGTGCTGTTTAAGAAACGAAGAAGCTAAACACAGATCCCCAGACACACGCACACTGCTACCACCAATAATCACAGCAATGCAACTCTAGACCTCAGCAGGAGAGATAAATGTACCCCCTCCCTCCGAGCTCTCCCACTGTGACGAGAAGATTAATTCCTATATAAAGAATCCTGGGGATTAAGTAAAGTGCTCGGGAAAGGTCTGGGTGCTTGGTGTATGGCAGGGGGAGTGTGGGGAGGGTGGCAATAGCAACAAGAAAGCAGAAGAGCTACAAACCTCAAAGAAAGCCAGGGAGAAGGGAGGGAGAGCGCTGGCAGCCTGACAGTCATTCCCAGCTGACCTGCTGATCCATTCCAGACCCTGCGTGGACTCGTCTCTGTTTGACTCCGCTCCAGTGAAACCGGAGACGCGGAGAAGGCAGAGGGAGTGGGAGAGATGCCCTCGGTCTTAACGAGCGCTGACAACGAACGGAAGATACACCCGGCATGAGGGACAGGTGGAGCGGGATGGCTGAGGCGCACGGAGGGTTTTGGGCTTGCAGCCCCGATGCTTCTCTCCAGTCACAGCTGCGAAGGCCACGGGCAGTGCCTCGTAGCGGTTGCAGGGCAGGGAGCGCGTGCAGAGGGCATCTCGTGGCTGCATGGCAAAGCCCAGGGGCGAAAGGGGAGCACTCACACCCTGTGTGCCCTGTCTGCCTCTGCAAAGGGCAATTCTGGCTCTAAGGGCCACTACGGTGATTCACACGTACCCATCCATGTATGTGAGGTGAGGATTGTTGCTCAGAGCTGAGATCTCTCCCTGGTGCATGAACCATGCTGGGGTACGGCTGTAGTTGTAGCCTGAATTCCTAGGAGGGCACGGAGACCACTTTTAGCTTCAGCCAGATGATATCAAAGGGCTCGGTAAAAAAAAAAGGAGCAGGTAAAGAAGCTGAGTGGAGGGCTGGATGAGGTTTTTTCTAGGGAAATGTTTTCAATGAGAGAATGTCAACTAGTCCAACACAAACATTTTTTTCAGGGATGCAGAAATTTCAGTTCAGGTTTCTTAACACCAGAATGGCACCACTTCAGGGAGATCTGTAGGCTTGCTTTGGAGGCAATTACTTGATATGCAGAATTAAGGATAGATCTTGTCTTTCCAATTTTGGGACATTAATTTCAGTCTTTACCTCTTAAATACATAACTAATGCTGGTGTGGGTCTCTTTACCCCTTCCAGTAGGAGTGTTTCCACTTTGAATTAATAACTAAAGTCTTTAGAAGAAGTAACATGAGCCTTGGTCTCTGAGCACAAGACAAATGCTTACAGGACTCAGTGCCACAAAGTGACATACCAGACTGTCAATGTGTGCAGGCATTTCTTTGCTGAAGTCAATGAAGAAATCACAGATCGGAGCTAAAACCCTAATCTTCTAAGAGGCAGCTCAGTGAAGAATAAACCACTCTACTCTTGGCTAGGGACTGTTTTCATGTGAAGATCTTTCCACGCTGCAGAACCTCCATTGATCAAATGTTTTAGACAAATGCTAAGACAAATTCTCTCCAGCTCAGCCCAGTAATGTGTGAACAAGTGACACAAGCATGGCATTCCTTGGTTTCTGTGCGTGCCAGCAGGGTCCAAGGACGTCACTACCAGGTTATAAAATAAACCAGATTAAAATACCTTTGCGTAATTATGGAGACACAGCAGGCCATTCATGGAGAATGCCACAAGGACTGTTGATTGATGGACAAGATGCTCTACAGACAACCAGGCAGAGTAAGGAAAGTTAGATGGACTCATTTCCTATGGAAGTTCAGGTTTGGGGATTTTTCTAAATGAAAATATTGATTTCAACAACAACAAAATAGCTGCTGCTCCATGAAATGCCATATATTAGACTGAGGGGTGGTGTCCTACCCAAAGAACACTGAATTTTGACCAGCCTTTTCAGGCATATTGCTTTCAGTACACCAAAGGGTTAAATGCAGAATGGCACTATACTTTTCTCCCGTGACTCTGTAAAAGTTCACCTAAAGAAACAACAGCCTGTGGTGGGCCATATTAATCTCACTGGCCCACTGTCTCTGGAGACGTGCTGAAATCTTGCTTTAAGTTAAACTTAAAGAATTTGGATGAGCTCTGAGTCTTAAAATGTTGAAGGCTTAGGCAGTACACAGGAAGATGAAGTAGTGGAGTTGAGCGTAGTAACTGTGATACACATGGCCTCAATGGAGAAAACGTCCTGAAGTTGGAAGGTTGTTAAGTTTGGAAGCAAGAAGTTCAAGGTGTAAGAGCATCCCATGCACCATGCTCTCCAAATCTATCTGTCCCTCCTTGCAGAAAGATTCATCCTAAAGGCAAAGGAAGCATCTAATGACAGTCTTAAAGTCTCCAAGAGTTAACACATTTGACAAGCAACTTTGAGACAAGGCTTTAGAGTTTCTTTCACACCAGCAGGACTCAATAAAATCTAATAACAGACCATTATGTAAGGAGGGGAGAGAACCAAGAGAGTGCAGGGACGATGTCCTCAAATGGGCTGGGAAGGAGGAAGGTAGGTAATGGGTTTTATGAGCAGTTCCAGCACACTCTGTCTTACACAAATTAATGCCCTGGCAGAAAATAATTTCAGAGCTGATTAGAAGCTCTTTAAAGGAGCTCTTCCACTTTGTCTCTTTGTTCTCTTTCTTGTGACAATCGTACCTGTCACTAGAGCTGTGTGGAACTATTAATTCCCACTGTGTGACTGTTCAGAAGGCAATGAGAGCTGATGGATGTAAGCAGGCTACAGTGGCAGGCAGCCCGGCTGCCTCAGATCTCCTTCTCTACCACATCACACCACCAGATCCTTCACCTTCTCGATGTGAATTCATCGTTATCACATGGTGATCCCTCTCCTTGTTGCATCATGAGATGGTAGATGAATAGTTAGCTTCCTGCCCTACCTAGAACACCACACTGCCCTCTGCTATAGGATCCCATCTTTCCTAAGCCCCTACCACACCCCCATGACCTGGTTCTTCCTTTCTGTGTGAAGAAGCATTAGAAAAAATTGCAAAAAAAAATTCACTGTACTTACATCAACCCAAGGGAAAGAGAATATCAACAGCAAAGCTTGGGGAAATGAAATCTCTTCCATTCTTTAAAATTTGGGGGTAGTTTTCTTGGTTACACCCAGAGACTACAAGAAAATATACAACAGAAAGTTCCAGAACTTGCATTTGAATTAGCAGGGAGATTAACAAATAGAAATGCTAACGAAAAAGTCCAAAAGTGACAGCGATGCTTACATCAACGTAAAATGTACTTCAAAAACCTTTTGAAACCAAATTCAAAGCAGTAAATCTCAGAGGTTTCTAGTTATTCACCATTCTTCATAGCCATTGCTTCCAGATTTTTGTCAAGTTTCCAAATTCGTTGTTAGTTTCTATGAATAGGAGGTCCTCTACCTCAACCCTCAGAGGCTGAATAAGTTAGGAAGCCTACAGAGACAAACGCCAGAGGTAAAGCATAAACACTGTCCTACCCATTCATATTACGCTGTCAATCCAGCTTGAAGATTAGCTTGTTAAAGTTTATATTGATGCCACTGTTGTTTCCCCTGTGCCCTTAGGTTTATGTGATCCTTAAACAAAATGAAAATTAAACTCATGGCTGCAGCTTCCTACTAGTGCTGGAGTTAATGTTCTTGTGGGGAGGACAGAGGGCATTAGAAGCACAAAGGCAGGACCCCTGGGCTCTCTGCAGTTGCAGCACAAGCTCAGACCAGTAATTTTCTTTTCTTGTGCTCAAGGGCTCAGACACACAAACAAGTTAGAGATGTCATCTGATCTCCAGCAAATATGTGCACACACTTTTAGCCCATAGCAAAGGTAAGATAATACAGGATGATTTTACCTGCATTAAAAGAGCATTCAGTCCAATTATTTCATTTTATGAGCTTATGCAGAAACCATTACCATGGATCAGCTGACACTAGGTAATATTTTAACCACAGAAACTTGTTCTTGTGCCTAACCCTACATTTTCCCTACCTGTAAAAGGAGATTTTGAAGCTTTCCTTGTTCAGATGTTGTAAAGCTATAAAATTTGTAAGCTCTCATTCAGAAGCATTGTACAAAAAAAAAAAAAAATAACAGTTTTCAGCTATAGCATTGCATTAGAATGATACAAGGATAAAAGTCTCCATGGATGAGATAATCTGGAAATTTTCCTTGTGAACAAAGCAATGAGAAGACAGAAGTCCTCTGCCAGATACCTAGCAACTGTAATATTATTGATTTGTAAATTAAAAGTAGGAATCCCACGCAAGATTACAACATTTTAAAATTTTCCTGTGTTATTTTCACATTCCCACTTATTCCAGTTCAGCCTGTTCTTTCTCATGTGAACCCCCACTGAATTACATTTGAAAGTAATTCGCAGGCTAAAGAAAAACCAGCCCTAAGAAGACTTAAATACAGCAGCTGTAGAACAAGAATCAATATCACCAAAATCAGGTGAGAAGCCACAGACAAACTTCTCCTTTTTTATCTAGAGTCTATACCTAACAAATGCATAAAAAAACTCATTCAATTTTTGGACATTAGCAGCAAATGAAGTCGAAATAATAAAATTATCTTGGAAACCTGTGAATAACCTGAAGATATTTTCACCTAATTCTCATAAAAATGACACCAATTTTGTACTCAAGTTGCACATCTGGATTCTAATAGGATAATTTCCATTTTTAAACCAGTGAGATCGATGAGAGAACAGCCAGGTTCCATTAAAAATGGAAAAAAAAAACTAATTGGATAAATTATTCATTCCAAAGCCAGCCGGAGTTTTATGAAACACAACTGAAATATCACTGTGTAAAATATTGAGTTAACTGTCCATGTTTCACTTCTATTAAATAAAGAAATGAGTTCTGCCATCAAAATTACATGTAGCCAAGAAATGTATATATTTTAATAAGGGGATATTGTTTTATTATTATTATTATTATTATTATCTGGATACTCTTTTCTCTAACAAACCCTTCATTTTCATTGTCTTTTGTTCAAGCACAATGCTTATCATAAACGATCGCCAGAGCAATATTAATACATATGCATGTGGAAAAGATATGATTTTCCATTTGTGAATACATATGCAGAGGTTTACCTCTCTGAATAACATTGCCCCTGCCCATGAAATAATT